CCCTCCTTCATTCCTTCCTGGAAGTGAACGTCACATTCGATGAGTTCATGGACCGCCGGAAAGTTTCGTCTTTCCTGACTGTGGTGAATATATGAAAACCTGTCGCTGGGTTTAAGGGTTCAGAGGATTAAATGAACCAATCACCTTCAGGCGTCGGTGACAGGTAAGAAAGAGGAGGCGGGGCTTACCACGACTCGCTGTTCTCCGGTGAGATCTGGCGAATCACAGAGCAGCTGGTTCTCTGACACGGTCAACAGGCAGGGAGACTCTCCAATCAGCACCGTGTAGTTCAGGCGGTTGTTACCGGGGGCAGGTGGGATCAGGTTCTTACCCTGAACGCACGCACGCACACACACACACACACACACACACACACACACACACACACACACACACGCACGCACGCACACACACAATGTTTTAACGCTGTGTCTTGGTCAGATCACATCTTTTTCTTCTTCATAACTTCCTGTTTAAGTTGTCTCACCTTAAGGATGATGGGTGACCCCGGTTTGACCTCCAGGATCCCAGAGTTCCCCAGGGGGTCAAAGGTCGGGTTGGGGTAGTGTGTGAAGGGGGTGGAGTTCAGCACCAGCAGAGACGAGACCTGGACGGAAGCAGAACGTTTTTATAACTGTTACCATGACTCGTGATGTGTGTGTGTGAGTGTGTGTGTGTGTGTGTGTGTGTGTTACCTGGTCAAAGATGAAACCAAACTCGTCGGGCTGCAGCGCCCCCTCTGGTGGGTTGGGTTTACTGTAAATCAGACCTGGAGCCAAACACGTCATGGTGCTGTCGTTGACCACCGTACAGAACTGAAGAGAAAAACAGAAGAGGGATTAAATGATTGATCAGGAGAAAAGAAGATCACGTGTTCATGTTGTTCCCATGTTGATGATGTCATGTTCATGTTGTTCACATGTTGATGATGTCATGTTCATGTTGTTCACATGTTGATGTTGTCATGTTCATGTTGTTCACATGTTCTTACATTATTCGTTTCCACTCCTCCGTACTTTGCTCTGACTTTCGGCTCCTGGATCGTCAACAGGTTTGTTCCTGTTACTGTGATCACTGTACTGCCACTACACACACACACACACACACACACACACACACACACACACACACACACACACACACACAGGTTACAGATCAGTCCTCTGATTGATTATCGATTATTGGTTGTTCTCTGGATGAGTATTTACTTGAGGATGGTCCAGCTCGGCTCGATGCCGGTGACGGTCGGGTCCTCCGTGTAGATGTATTTGGTCTCTGAGCTCGTCACCTCGGCCCTGTCAATCATCAGACGGATGGGGGCGGGACCAGTACCAGACGGAGAGGCGGGAGTTATGCAGATTATTTCCCGATTGGTGCGTCTGAAAGAGGGGAGGGAGAAGGAGGGTGTTAAATGTTTTCATTCTTTTAAAATATCTTCCTGAGATGACGTCATTTGATCCAAACTCACTTGACAAACAGACACTTCTCCTTGTCGATGTAAATGGTGACGGTGCTGCCGGCGTCCAGGTGTCGGCCGGTCACCGTCAGTCTGGTTCCCCCGGAAACGGGACCCTTCTCTGGACGCACACGACTGAAACTGGGGCTCTGCAGGAAGAGGAGGACGTTAGTGTCACATTAACCTCCATCACATCACAGCTTGCTACCCCCGGTTACAGGAACACAAGGTTGGTAGCTTGGTAACCGTGTAAGGCGCCATTACTCACCACGAAGGAGTACGTCTGGGTGGAGAGGGTTCGATACTCTGCGCTGCAGACGCCAATGCAGAGCTCGACAGGGCCGCCTGGAGAGTGGGGGAGGAGAGCTTCGGCCATATCGCACACGATCCTGCGGACACACAAAAAGAGTCACACGTGCTCGCCAACACACACACACACACACACACACACACACACAGACACAAAGACACACACCTCTCAGCGCTGATGTACTGCGAGGGGACGGGGTTACAGCGGACTCCGGCCACCTGAACGTGAGCGATCTCCTTCACCTGCAGACCCAGGTTCTCCCCCTCAATCGTCACCCGTGTCCCCCCCTCACGAGGCCCCGTCAGAGGGTCGATCTGTGGGAGGAGTCACAGTTTGATTTATAGCTCATTTCTATATCGATAGCAGGAAGTCGTAGGTCACGGGTGTGTCTCCTACCTTCGTGATGCGCGGGTGGCTGCAGCGCAGGTTGTGTCGACCGTGGTGCATCCAGTTCTGCTCGGGGGCGGGACAGTGTTGCTGCAGGAGACACTTCCTGGTCTCGGTGCACCAGCCGCACTCGAAGGCAGCGGGAGCTTTGAGACACTGACCACAGCTGGAGCGCTGGGCCTCGCACTTATACAGCAACGCTGAGCAACACAAAGAGTCTCCGTCACACAAGATCAAACAACCACACACAAGGTTACACAATGTTTTAGGGAGAACTCCAGTGTGGATTAGTGTGGACGCCAGGCGTAACCATAGCAGCAGTGACGAGTTTTAAAACTGAAAAATGCTTTTCATTTCAAACCAAATGTCAACAATTTGTCATTTTTATAAAAAACAAAAGTCCGTTCTCAGAGCGCTGAGGGTTGGTTGCCGATGACGACCAGGTTTTTACCTTTCATTGACGCAGGTTTGTCGATGAAGAAATCTCCATCCCAGACGATGGAGAAATCCACAGGGAGGTCGCCGGCCTCGTCGCCCTCGTACCAGTACTGCAGAAACACACACGCACTGGTTTAACACTCAGAACCGAAGAACAGGAAAAGATGCAAAAATAAAGTCTGATTAAAGGAGGAGAAGAAAACGAACAGAACAAAAAACAAATAATTCAATATAAAGTTTTGAGAACGTATCAGAACTGATCAGTCAGTGTTTCTCTGACCAATATGTTCCGCTTTCAGCTTTTAATCCATTATGTTGTTTCCCTGAATACTTTTTGTGGATACCATGGAGACCTGCAGCCGCCATGACAACATCACTTACGCTCTGTGTGTGTGTGTGTGTGTGTGTGTGTGTGTGTGTGTGTAGCAAAGAGAGTCTGTGCCCTGAATATGTCAGCTCAACCTGCATGGCACCAGATAATCTTACACACACACGCACTGCTACAGTTAATGAATCGCTCATATTATAATGATCCTTTTTGCAGAATCGCAAGAACGGCCACAATATTCATAACTCTGAGTGTGAGTGTGATGATCACATAGTTAAAGTATGTGGACGACCAAGAAGTGAGTGAGTGTGTGTGTGTGTGTGTGTGTCTAATGCCCTGATTTTCCATTAAAAGCAGCCAGCTGAGCCCCAGAGAGCAGCATCATAGGTTTGGCCTGTGAAAGCACCATATGCACACACACACACACGCACACACGCACACACACACACACACACACA